GGAAGGAAGGAAGGAAGGAAGGAAGGAAGGAAGGAAGGAAGGAAGGAAGGAAGGAAGGAAGGAAGGAAGGAAGGAAGGAAGGAAGGAAGGAAGGACAGGGCCACGCTGGATCGTGTCCACGCCTGGCCCTGCTGCCTGCGCCGTGCCCAGGTGCAGCACCCAGCCCGTATCCCTCTCTTTTCACCCCATTTCCCAGCCCCTATCCCTCCCTTTTCACCCAGGTGTCCAGGCCGTATTTCACCCCATTTCCCTGCCCATAGCCCTCCATTTTCACCCACGTTCCCAGGCTCTATCCCTCCCTTTCCACCCCGTTTCCCAGCCCATATTTCACCCAAGATTCCAGCCCCGTATCCCCCCCTTTTCTCCCACATTCCCAGCCCGTATCCCTCCCTTTTCACCCATGTTTCCAGGCCATATTTCACCCATATTCCCAGCCCCTATCCCCCCCTTTTCACCCAAGATTCCAGCCCCCTTTTCACCCCATTTCCCAGCCCGTATCCCTCCCTTTTCATCCAGTTTTCCACACCATATTTCACCCCGTTTCCCAGCCCATATCCCCCTCTTTTCACCCCGTTTCCCAGCCCATATTTCACCCAAGATTCCAGCCCCATATCCCCGCCTTTTCACCCCATTCCCCAGCCCGTCTCCCTCCCCGTGCCCCGGCTCGGCTCCCACCGCTCCCACCCCAGCTGCTCCTCCGCCCCATCCCAGCTGCTCCGAGCCGCCTGGAGCCCGGCCTGCTCCGCGGTAATTAATACTCCACGGCACGTTAGCGGCGCCGCTTGGCCGCCGGCCACCCGGGAAAGGTCGCGCGGCCGCGGCCTCAACACTTCCTCGCGCTGCCCTTCCCGGCCTGTTTACTCGGGAGCCCGATCCCGGCCGGGCACGGAGCCAAGGAGGCGCCTCCCGGACCTCCAGCACCTCGTCCTTGGCGTGGGCACCCATTCCCACCGTGTCCCATTGCCGCCGTCCCGCACCCCGCTCGCCCTCGTGATGCGGACCCTTGGCCCCGAGGGCACGTCCGCGACCCTGGTGGCATGTGGAGGATGTCAAGGGCTGGCTCCCGGCCCCGGAGCGCGGGAGGGAGCGCGGCGGGCGCTGGAAATAGCCCGGGGCAGCTGGGCCAGGAGACACGGGGCGCCCGGGCACCGTCCTGCCCGCGCGCGGAGGCCCCGGGGCTCCTCTGCTTGGGGCTCCCCGTTGGCCTCTCCTCAGCCTCGCTCCCGGCCCCGCTCTCATTACGGGACCCTTAGGGTTGGGAAAGACCTTCAGGCTCTTTCCCAGCTTTTCCAGCCCAACCCTGCTCCTTCAACGCCATCTCGCTCAACCGCGACCCCAGGCGCCTCATCCACACGTTTCTTGAGCACGACCAGGGATGGTGACTCCACCGCCAACTTGGGCAGCCTGTCCCGATGCTTCGCCACTCCTTCCCGGCGGGATTTCTTCCTAGCATCCAACCTGGACCTCCTCTGGAACAACTTGAGGCCCTTTCCCATGGTCCTAGGTAGTTCTTCTGGAGGAGAGGCCGACCCCTGCATCACCACAACCTCCTTGAAGGTAGTTGTGGAGAGGGACAAGGTCCCCCCGAGTCCCCTCCACACTAAACAACCCCGGCTCCCTCATCCGCCCCTCACAAGGTCTGAGCTCCAGCCCTTCCACCACCTTCACTGCCCGTTTTGGGGCACGTCATGGACCCCCAAACCCTCCTCCCTCTGTTCCCCGTTTCCCTCCATGGTCTTGGTCCCCGCTGCACCCCTGCCCTCTGCACCCATCTCCATCTCTATCCCGAGTGTCTCCCGCTCCCAGGCTTGGTCCCCCCGGAATCGCCGCTCCCTGCACCCCTGGACCCCAATGACCCTCTATGACCCCGGCACCCCCAGACCCTCCACCCCGCAGTGTCCCACCAGCCACCGCTTCCCACCCCCAGGGCACCGTGCCCACCACGCTGTCCCCGTTGCCCGACTCGGCCCCTCTGCCCCATAGCTGGAGCCTGCCCCACAGCAGGGAGCCGGAGGGCAGAGGCCGCCCCATAGCTGGGGACAGGTGGCAGCGGCCGGGGCTGGCAGGGCTGAGCGCTAACGAGCCGTTCCATAACGGGCAGCGCGGAGGAGGCGCCGGGACGGCCGCCAAGCCCGGCTTAGCTCTGCACCTGGGCTGCCCGGCTCAACGGGATCCCACCTGCTCCGGCAGCGCCGGTGCCGCCCCCCGGATCGGCCGCGGGACCCGGGACGGAGCAGGGCGCCGAGCGCCCCATGGCGTCCCAGCCATGCGGCACCGCCGTGGGCACGTGGACAACGCTGGCTAGGGCAAAGCCACCGGTGTGGGCTGGACTATCTGCTTCTCCTCAATTCGTTTCTCCTCCGGGAGGAAGGACCAAGCTCTGCTCAGTGGTGGCCAGGGACAGGACAAGGGGCAATGGGTGGAAGTTGGAACCCAGGAGGTTCCATCTCCAGGTGAGGAGGAACTTCTGCACTGGGAGGGTGCCCGAGCCCTGGCCCAGGTTGCCCAGGGAGGCTGGGGAGTCTCCTTCTCTGGAGGTCTCCAAACGCACCGTGGCACGGGGACCCCCATCCCGCCCTGCTCTTGTGGGTTCCTCCACACCCCAGGAGCAGGAACCATGCAGAGCAACACCGAGTACACCAAGTTTAATGATCTGGCAGGGGTAGAGGGTGATGGGAGGGTCTATCCAGCAAGCACCGCAGTGCAGATGCTGCGAGGAGCCCCTGCTCCCTTCGTTGACCATCGTTAACGTTGACCATCGTCAACGTTGACCATTGTTAACGCTGACCGTCATTAACGTTGACCATGGTTAACATTGACTGTCATTAACGTTGACTATTGTTAACGTTGACCATCGTTAACATTGACTGTCATTAACGCTGACCATTGTTAACGTTGACCGTCGTTAACGTTGACCATCATCAATGTTGACCATTGTTAACGTTGACCATCATCAATGCTGACCATCGTTAACGTTGACCTTTGTCATCATTGACCATTGTTAACGTTGACCGTCATTAACGTTGACCGTCATTAACGTTGACCATCATTAACATTGACCATCGTTAACATTGCCCATCGTTAATGCTGACCATCATTAACGCTGACCATCGTTGACATTGACCGTCGTTCACACCATTCCATCCTCTGCACGCAGAGACTCCAGGAAGGACCCAACGCACCCAGGGTCCTTCCTGGGGCCTGGAACCGAGGGCTGCCCTGGGGAGGCCGCAGAGGGGAGGCTGCTCCGATGGGATCCACGTGGGCTGCCGGCAACGGGGCGGATCTGGGGACACCTTTGTGCTCCTCAGGGATCCTGCAAAGAGGAGAGCATGAGCGCGGCCCGATCCAGGGCTCTTGGGTCCCCATCCATCCCACGGAAAGGGTGGGCACCTCGCAGAGCACCCCGACGTCCTCGCTGTGCGTGCAGTCGTGGTAGCCCCAGGGCCGGTGGGCGCACTCGCCGAGGCTCCTCTCGCGGCCCGTGCAGCGCACCTCGTCCAGCCAGATGGGCCCGTGGCCCGGCCGC